GTCTGTCAGACACCTTCTTCAGAGCTTCTGACTGGAGTACTGCATCTCGCCGCTATATGTAGCCGATGTAGGTGGCGCTTTTGCGGCGAGAACACTATCCCAAACGTGGCTTAGTTTGTACCCCCCTCGTCCCGGTTCATTACAGGGGTTGACTTTCTGATCCAAACTGCCTCCTTGATCCTGGCAGATCTGCTAGCACCACTAGTTGGACAGTCCACACACCACATCAAGAACTCTAAACATCTAGCGGAAGAAATGTCCTCCATCTTGCTGGAAGAAGATGAGATGTTTTTGTCACACGACGTGGTATCTCTTTTTACGAACACCCCCATCCCAGAGACACTCAACATAATCAAGAATAGACTCCAAGAAGACAAAGATCTCAAGAGTAGGACCAAACCTTGAGATAGAGGACATTATTGAACTTCTGTCCTTTATCGTCACTACAACGTACTTCAGCTTCAGGGGCAACATTTACCAGCAAAAGTTTGGCACAGCCATGGGGAGCCCGGTGTCCCCAGTATTAGCTAATCCCTTTATGGAATGGCTGGAACGACAAGCCATAGCCACAGCTCCCATCAACTGTGGGCCGAAGTTATGGAAGAGGTACGTTGACGACATCATGGAGATTGTGAAGAGGGGGGTACAACAGGAACTCACAGATCATCTGAACAACACTGACCCTACGGGGAGTATCCAGTTTACACATGAAGAAGAGAAAGATGGCACGCTACCCTTCCTCGACACCCTTATGGTAAGGAAGGAAGATGGCACAGTGAAACTCCTAGTATACAGAAAGTCCACACACACAGACCAGTACCTGAATTTCCAATCTCACCATCCCCTTCACCAAAAACTCGGAGTCATTCGCACCTTACTAGACCGGTGCAATGCAGTAGTCACTGAAGATGCAGACAAAGCACTAGAGACAGAACATGTCAAGAAAGCCCTAACACGGTGTGGTTACCCACCATGGACATTTAAGAAAGTGGAACAACGAAGTAAGCAACACAAGCGTAAGGACAAGAGCAACAAGCAGGACGATAAAACGAGGGCCATGGTCATCATCCCCTATGTCAAAGGAATCACAGAGCC